AATCATGATGAACGCTTTTAAATAAGATGACGCGTTAAAGTCGAGTTAAATTTCTCCACATGAGTTAGACTGTTAATTAACATAAAGTTAATTAAATACAATACCGCATCACAACAAAAAAAGTTTTAATAAAGACAAAAACAATAACAATCCAATTAAAAATAATTTGAAGAGTTTTGAATTTTACAGTTTTACACATCTTTAGCTCGAAATTTTCCAAAACAAATCTTGAACTGATGAATTTAATTTATCTCCTTTCACACTCACACAATTTATTTATTTATTTATTTTTTAAACACACGCCATGAGAACGCTTTAGCCTAGCTTACAATAAAACAATAGAAAATAAGAAACGCATTAATTTATTTATTTTTAATTAATAGATAAAAAAAATAATATTTACCATCATTATTTACACCACTTGATTCAGGTACATAGCAATCGTCGCCTTTGATGCAAACGAACCATAAATGTACAAAAATTATATAAGTAAACAAGAACATTTTTATTCTTAAAGAAAAGAATATCTCCTCTCGAACTGTTTTTTCTGAATGCTGCCGAGAAGAGAAAAGACGGGTATTTGAGCGAAGAATAAAGAATAATTATCAAGAATACATTATTGACATAAAATATGACTTCGCATGATCTAAGTCTTTTATAATTAGCAAATCCAACTGATATAATAAAATATCGCTTTATCATAAAACGTTATAAGTTTTAAAACGTGATCAACTGATTATAATTATGAAACAGTAGGAATGTTTCAAATACTTAAATCAATATGTAAAATTATTGTTTCTTTTTTTCTTCTTCTGTTTGAATATTATTATGAGCAATATTTACAACATGTCGCTTATTAGCCCAATGTAGACATTGAGAATAAGTTAAAAATAGAACAAAAGATTTTGAGAAGAATTAATCACTTTGTTGCTTAAATCCATCAACGTCTGTTTAAATATCTGGTTTTGTTAATGGGCTGCGTTTCTCTTGCTTTTGAAACTGCTGCTGTTTTAAACTTATAGATGTTTACGGTAGACGATATTTAAAGTTTGGGAGCCCCTTATTTATCCATGTACGGTTCACTCCGTTGTTCGATTAGAGCAGTGTTTCCCAATTTCATGACTTTTGTGTACCCTTTCTAAATTTTTCGTAACGTCGTGCACCACTAATAAAAAAATGAATGTATCTTTTACTATAAAAAAAGTTTCACTAAAGTTAAAAATCACAACTGGCTGTTGATATCACTCATTATTAACTGTTAACTCTGCAAAAAATAGCCAATAGAAAAATACATAATCATAAATTTTCATGGCTAGCTTTACTTTTAAATAAAATCTTCGTTTGTTGCAAAATATTTCGCATAAGAACGCGTACCACAGCTAAACTGTTCCCGTACCCCTGGGGCTACGTGTACCACACTTTGGGAAACACTGGATTAGAGAGATTAGTATTAAACGTTAAATTAATCAATTACGTCATATTAGAGAGCTAATGTAAGACTCCAAAAATTTCATACTTCATTTTACTAGTTTTTTTAATAACGCTGACAATACCTGAAAATTTTTCTTCGATTGGAGATAGTTAAAACTCATTTTTTTAGTTAGTACAGAAAATAATAATGATGAGAATAATCAAGAATAAAAAAATTGGTAGAACCTGTGTATGTTACCCAGGGCCGTTTTATCCATTAGGCACTGTAGGCAACTGCCTAGGGGCCCCGCCACGTTCAGGGGCCCTGTGCTACAGAGAAAAAAATTGACAATGTCTCTTAAACAGTAAAAATTTAATTCGAAATTTCAATGACGATTGTCTTGCTCTGTACATTACATCGACGCTATTTTAGTACATTTCTGAAGGCATTCCAAATTAGATATTAATATTATGGTAGTTCATATATAACGCAGTAATATAATCGCAAACAATTTTATCTCGGTAATTTTAACGCTGACTAATCAGAAGACTATACAGCAAGAGCAGCTTTTTTAACACAACACGCTTGAAAAACGCGCAAAATTCTACGTTGTGAATGCACACTTACTGTTTTGGTACCTACCATAGGTATGTATATTCTATGGCCAAGCTACCAAAGTTGAAGAAGAAAACTACCTAAGAGGAAAAGAGAAATTAAAAGTTGATACATATTTGCCAGTACTAGACATGCTGTGTACAGAACTGTCGCTGCGCCTAGAAGCTTACCGGGAAATAAATG